GCATGCGATTCATCTGCGATTATGAATGCGATATTGCGTAGCTTGTCAGTGAACTACGGCTCTGTGAAGTAAATGCTGCTCCATCTGAAAGCACGTGCTGGAGATTTACTACTAATCACAGAACCGGCTTTACTGACGAGATGCAAATCACATGCGATTTATCGTGCAGCCCTAATTTTATATATAATTAAAATCTGAGCGATTTCTGTCCCTCCACTGAAAGTCTATTCACCCAAAACTGATGCTTCAAAAAAAGTTCATAAAGAGATGTAAAATAAATCCATGTGAATTGAGTGGTTTAATCCAAGTCTTCTGAAGAGACATGAACAATTTATATGATGAACTTGATTTACTTGATATGATTTATTTATAGGCTTTTATTCACATCTAGACACTGATTAGAAAACAGTGTTTGTAGCATCCAATTTTGGTAAATGTAAGCTCAAGCATGTTTGCCTGACAAGTGAGAACCAGCGAGGTTCATTCTCGTGTCATGCAGCAAGTTTGAGCTTCTGCAAGAACCAGTGAGGTTTGTTCTCATGCATCAATCATTTGATTCAGATCGGGAATTGGAGTCGTTTCTCTTAATTTTTTCCAGAGTACAGTAGGGAAGCATGAAACAGGTTTATGTGATAAATGTCGGGAAATTGAGACTAATATTTTTTCGTTTAAAAGTCATGTCAGTTTGGCAATTTTAGGGTAGGCCTAGGCTAATTTACCATGTTCTGTTGTTCATGTGGTAGGCGCATATGACAAAAAGGCAAAGAAAAAATTTTCTGCTTGCATTTGCATTTCTTTCTAAATGTCGATGGATAGGCCTATTCTATGACATTTAGCCTTAAGAAACGTTTAGGGGTTATTTTCTACCCTGGAGTTTATGGGAAAGGTCATGATAACATGATCTTCAGGAAAAATTACATTTCATGTAGCCTACTTTATTACATTTGTTGATGAATGAATATTGTCTAATTATTTCCAGTGATGAACTTTAATCAGAGAATTGACACTGTCATCAATATTTTCTAAAAATCCAAAGTGAAAACATGGGTGTGTATCATATAGGCTAAACCATAAAATTGACTAGTATATTATTATGGTTCTGTAAAAAAAAAAGTGCAATTGAAAAGAGTTGAAGCATCCAGTTCAGCAGTTAAAAACTGCTTCGTATGTTTGTGGAAACTGTATATATTTAATATTTCAGGATTCTTCGATGAATAGAAAATTCATAAGAACAGCATATATTTTGTAACATTGTAAATGTCACTACTGTCACTGTATTTGTAGTAAAACTGTGGTTATAAAAACAAAACAAAAAAAAAAAACATTACAAAGTCTTGATTTTGTTTTGGGGGTGTACTAGAACAGGCTCTCATACTAGGTTGTTCGAAAAACACATTATTTTTCACATAGTTTACATTATTACCCATTCGTCGATATTTGTGATATCACAAATCCCAGAAAATATGCGTTGTAGTCCAAACGAGTCATTCGTTGTAGTTTTTGCGACAGTGAATCATTTTGCGACGCAATGGTTTAACTGATTCGGAGTTTCGAAAAGCTCTGTTTCAACAATCACTACGTGGTTTTTAAAATCAAAATTCGAAAACTCTTTTGATCTGGTTTTTGCTAGTGAATCGCTTGAGCTGAAAGATCGATTGGCGAGTTTGAATCAATCGGAGCGGTTCCAGCGTAAATGACTCACTCAATTAATTCGGTTTGTTTGTTCCTGCGTGGCTCTTTTCCACTGAAACACTTCTGAAACACTTCTGCTCCCTTATATGTTCTTACTCCACACATGTATTAAATGTGCGCAATTTTTTTAGTGTAGGCTATTTCTTTAAATTCTCAGGTAATATCAATGGCGTGACCTATTTCAGATGCGGCCGAAATTACAACAGCAGTGGTTACATACACATATATTTAATTGTTAGATCAAAATTATTGCTAGGGGCAATTTAGTAGTCGCTGGATATTGGTAAGGACATGTAATAGCGTCTCTACAAAACTCTACAGCCTTGATTAAATGCATCCTTGAATAATTTTAAATCTTACTTAAATATTTTGAATCACAGTTTCCACAAAAAATATGAAGCAGCACAACTGTTTCAACATTGATAATAATCAGAAATGTTTCTTGAACAGCAAATCAGCATATTAGAATGATTTCTGAAGATCACGTGACACTGAAGACTGGAGTAATGATGCTGAAAATTCAGCTGCGCATCACAGAAATAAATTATATTTTAAAATGTATTCAAATAGAAAACAGGTATTTTAAATTGTAAAAAATATTTCACTGCTTTTACTGTATTTTTGATCAAATAAATGCAGTGTTGGTGACCAGAGGAGACATTCAAAAACATAAAAAAGCTTAATTATTAAAAAATGTTGACCGCATGTATAAAGGCGTTTCATATTTATGATCTGGAAGGTAGCAAATAACAAATCATAGCGTCCTTACTTTTTTGTTATATTAATTTAATTCGCGCTACGTCATCAGCGGCGCTCAACTTTGACCCGCGAAGCGTCGGAAGTTTACGCGTGACGTCATCCGTCTTTGTCCGGCAGCTGCAGCGCCAGCTAGAAACGAATCCCGAATAACGCACGATGGGATCTCAGCGCTAGTTCAGACAGCGATTCCGGGCAGACTCGCCAGTGTGTGCGAAGATGTGCGATCTGAGCTCAGCGCTCATTAAAGAGGGCTGGTGAGTCACTACTGAGTGCTAACCGCTAACTGTGTTTAGCATGCTCCTAGTGCTAACTCATGTTTACATTCGTTCACTCGCTCTGATTTAAAAGCGAGTTTTACTTGTATCATTGATTTATAGCTGCGTATAAGTTCCTTTAACAATGTACGGTATATATCTCTTCGTTAGTTTATTTCTGTGTCTGTTTGGCTTTGGGGATGTTTAGTGCTGTACTCATTAGCACGATAATCAACATTTATTAACTGCTAGTCTGTTATCGGTAATTCTAAATTATTAATATATTTATGTGTGTGTCATATATGATGGTTTAATAATCGGCTGCTGAAGTTTTTCATTGATTCCCTTTAATCAGTCTGGACTGTCATGACAAGTTTTACAGGTTCTTAAGAACAATCATCAGCATCTTTCAACACTTTATGTGTTCAGAGCTCGACTTCAGTTCCTTTAGATCTCACGTTTTACTGTGCATATTAAATGTTATATGTTACAGTCAAATACCATGGTTCTTTGATGCAATGGTATTTGCATGATACCCCGAAGTGCTTAAAAGCATAGGTTTCACCATATTTCCATAGTTGATTAATCACAGTGCATTAAGACAACTTTTCTGAGTTGTTTTTAAATATGCAACTGATGTGGTATTTTATCAGATATGCAGCTGAGGTGGTATTTTATCAGATAGGTGGTATTTGATCAGATATGCAACCAAGGTGGTATTTTATCAGATATGCAGCTGAGGTGGTATTTTATCAGATATGCAGCTGAAGTGGTATTTTATCAGATATGCAGCTGAGGTGGTATTTTATCAGATATGCAACTGAGGTGGTATTTTATCAGATATGCAACTGAGGTGGTATTTTATCAGATATGCAGC